ACGTAAGTAAGTAGTAGTAGTACGTAGTATATATATATATATATATATATATATATATATAGATATATAAGTATATATATATATATATATATATACTGTATATAAGTTCCCACGTACACGTTGAAAGTTATTAATCGGCCGAACAGACTGCTTGTAGACACATGACTTGCTGTACGCACTCGTGATGACAAGTTTTCTCATACCCGGCCTGTTATATGGCATAAATGTTTTACTGTTTCTCAATTATGATGTAGAAGGCCAAGTAAAAGCAAGGTTGAAAAAGAGAATGCGAAAGTTGGCTCAGGAGATACAGACACCGAAGAGCCGGCCATGAAGTATGTTTGCGATGCCAACTTATCGCTTCTTTAATATCTGTCATATCAAATTCGTAAATAAAAAACATGGCTGTTTATTTGGCAGCATGATATGCATACCGGTCTGTTTATAGCTAAAAAAAGCTTTTCATATTCCATGTGACGCTTGTTGTATTGTTCACATATTTTTGGCCGTACATTAATCAGGCGCAGTAAGATTTCCTCCAAAGTTGCCGGTCCGACAAATATCACCCGTTCTAAAAAAGCGGTTGCTGACGAACACGAAGCCGAAGCAGACTGATCGGCCAGTCTCGATTGTTCTGAGTTGTGATAGTTTTAAATGAACTGAGTTTGGAGTTTGGGCAGTATCTATCGAAATGACTTTGGATAGTCTCATGGACCTGTCTTTCGGGCGGTTCCACTGGACTGGGTTTGGATAATATCGATTGAACCGAGTTTAGGCAGTATCGACAGAGCTGACTTGGGATAGTATCGATTGGACTGAGTTTAATAAGTATCGATTGAGCTGCCTTATACCAAGGCAGATAACGAGCTCTACCGTCGGCTCTGTGTATGTACGGACTAACTGCTGCTACACGTTTCTATGAGCAGGGCTATATATTAATAGTAGCCCACGCAGAGTGTAATATGACATATGTTACTTTATATCCAGGCTTTGGAGGTGTGCATTGCACTTGCTATTGATGTAGCGGCATGTCATGGTCGTCTGGTGATTACATTGATGTCCTTACGATGGCATCGTTCACCCATTAGCTAGACCTCCTAATCTGGTGGGCCACCCAGTGAAGGCGAGACAAAACTTGGTGCAGATCACACCACTACGCTCTGTGGGGTGCGACTCACTGAACCCAGTGAACACGCGTGTTCGAGTGTCACGAGTCATACTCGAATAGTAAACAGAGCCCGCCAATGAATACCTGCGCAAGCCTAGCGCAAGAAATCAGGGACTTTGACCGTACGGAAGTATAAGGGCGGATACGGCAAAAGGCAGCGATGAGTTAAACCACATCTGGACTACGCTTAAGCTCAGTGGCACAGGCGAATGAGAAGCAGCGCAGTATGTGCAAGGCAGACTTCTGCACGGAAGGAGTGAGCGCAAAAGCCAACATATCATAACACTGTCTTCAGGTTTTAAGCATCTCGTCGTAGCATGAGCGATACACACAGGGTCTTGCAGTACTGGACGGTTCAGCAAACTCTGGCGAAGTATCTTGAGTATGTTGACGCACATTGTAGCGGCAGCAGGCGGGGCGAATCGCAGACCGAGCGAATATGACATTTGGTGCTGCCTATTCGATCCATCGATATTTCGTCAGATCTTGATAGACGAGACAGGCGAAAGACGCAAACATAATACCAAGCTAGATACAAACGCACATCGCACATATTCGCCCTTTTCAGGTGTATACTAATACGGACAGAAGTCGGTCTTATCACACGGGTCTGTCCAGTGCCAAATAAAGGAGATAGTTTTTTTATCCAGGTACAACTGTCCCAAAACAAATACAAACGCCCTGCTCAGCAAATCAAGCGGGACTTCACAAACAAGGAACTCCTTAATCGTCATACCTTTAATAGCTGTTTCCCGACCCCAACCGAACATACTATATATTTAAAGAGTCTGGAACAGTGTGACTGTCTTTTAATCTACGTTGTGGCACGTGAGCTGTACTACTTGATCGATCTGGCACTACAAAGCGAACGTCGCCTGTTCGTCTCCCAACCACACCAGACACACTCGACATCGACGTATGTCTCTTTCCGGCGAGGATTCTATCTAACTTTTTAATTATTACAGCATTTTAGGTTAGATTGTAGCATATCTGTGACTATTCGCGTGTATAGTATTCTCAAGCCCGCCAACCCACGTGTGTTCTTCAGCACATGCCTACAAATGCAATCAGCTATGTGACAACTACTGATTTTCCCACTGGTAAATCCACAGAGTAAGAGCATATACTATTCTCCATACTCCGAGCACTTCTTACCAGCCATCTCCAGGCCGCCAAGAAGTCTCAATAATTCAGTACTGCTATATACTATAAGCATATCGTGTGCAGCCCGCCTCGCAACGCACGCTGTCGATAGTAGTAGTAGT